TATTTATTGGTAGATCGGTCCGTCTAGCCCCGCCCCCTCCGTCTGGCCCAATCACTGCTCGCGTTTCGGAGCCACCCGCACGCTTTATAAGCCCGCGCTGCGGAGGCGCCCTCTGTGGGGATGGCGCGTTGTGTGGGGGAGCTGGTGGTGTGAGCAGGTACCTGGAGCTGTCCTGGGGGGCACCGCAGTGCTTGGTGCCTCACAGGTCTGCAGGCCCCTCAGCTCAGCCGGGCGGTGTTGTGAGGGTGGCCTGGCCTGGCCTGGCCTGCAGAGCCAGGGTGAGCTGGTGCTACGCTCCCTGTGGAGGCCGCAGACCTGCTCCTGTGCATCCTGCAGGTGATTGCTGGTGGGAGCAAAAAAGCCTTTCCCTTGCAATCGGGACTGGTGAGTACAGATCAGTCTGAGAGGCTCACACCTCAGCACATTCCCCTGCCAGGTAACACCTCTGACCTGTGGTACATAGAGCCCTAGTTCTGCCAAAGAGGGGAAGGGATGGCAGGTTGAGCTCAACCCTGGTGCTCAGGGGCCTTCTCTGGATTTGTAGGAAGTCAGGGAAAAACACAGAACGGTCAGATGGAAAAAAAAAGGTGGCACAAAGATCTGGTAGGTGCCAGGTCAGGTTATTTCTGATCCCCAGTTCTGTTCCCCACAGCTGGCACACAGAGGCAGGTTCAGGGAGCAGGTAACTCTTGATAAATGTGTGTCATTAAGGGCATTCTAAACTAAGTCAGCTTTTTAGCACTACTTGAAATCCCTTATTGAAACATTTTTTTAAAAGCTAATTTCTTAATCTGGTTTTCAATAGGTACCATGCTCCTTCCACCCCTTCTGGCAGCTGAGATGTTTAGAAGCAAATCCAGAACTACAGCCTGTCACAGCCATGCTAGTTCTTTCCCCAGGGAACACATCCCTGTTTTCAATATAAGGGTGGGTTAATGTACAGAAACATGGATTGAGTGGCTCTGACAGGATGCCTCAATGTGTACATCATTATCAAGTTAATGGCTTTGCTGACTTCCTTGAATTTATAATGCATTAAGTATAGGCTTGAGTTGTCACACTCAGCATCTTGCAGGACCAAGCCTTTGTGTTGCAGATTTCTTGAGGTAGAGATTGTATCTGTTTTTTTAAAGTAGTATTTGTGTAGCCCTATGTATGGGGGTTTATACATAGATATGCTGAATAATAGCAGGGTAAAGCTGCCAGACATCATGGGGTTTTTTACTGGTCTTGTAAAACTGGTATATCCTGTAAGCATCAGCTGGTGTCAGGCAATTGTATGAGAGTCTCACATTTCATTTTGGTTCAAAATAGGGTTTTTTTAATGTTTCAACTTGGAAAATATCACCCCTGCCAGTTAAAAAAAAAAGGCAAATAAAATGGACTGGGCATTTATTATTTATAAAGCCTCTTGACTTCTGACCTTTTGTGAGTCAGCTGGGAACTGTTGGCTAAACAACCCCAGGGCTGTTGTGAGGGGGAAGCTCCGTGAAACAGCAAAGCTGCTTGAAAAGTCAAGAAGCCAGAAACCCCCTGGCAGGCCTGGAGCGCTGGCGCTTTCAAAGAGAAAAGTTTATTGCCCGTGAGCCTGGGCAGAGGCCCAGGGCGGCTGTCAGCAGCCCGGGGGACCCTCCCTGACCTGGGGGTCACCATTTCCCTGCTGCCGGTGCTTCCCGGTGGCTCCGGGGTGATGCCCCGTGGGTCTGTGCCGGCCCTCGAATGTGTGTCATTAAGGGCATTCTAAACTAAGTCAGCTTTTTAGCACTACTTGAAATCCCTTATTAAAACATTTTTTTTTTAAAGCTAATTTCTTAATCTGGTTTTCAATAGGTAACATACTCCTGGCAGCTGAGATGTTTAGAAGCAAATCCAGAACTACAGCCTGTCACAGCCATGCTAGTTCTTTCCCCAGGGAACACATCCCTGTTTTCAATATAAGGGTGGGTTAATGTACAGAAACATGGATTGAGTGGCTCTGACAGGATGCCTCAATGTGTACATCATTATCAAGTTAATGGCTTTGCTGACTTCCTTGAATTTATAATGCATTAAGTATAGGCTTGAGTTGTCACACTCAGCATCTTGCAGGACCAAGCCTTTGTGTTGCAGATTTCTTGAGGTAGAGATTGTATCTGTTTTTTTAAAGTAGTATTTGTGTAGCCCTATGTATGGGGGTTTATACATAGATATGCTGAATAATAGCAGGGTAAAGCTGCCAGACATCATGGGGTTTTTTACTGGTCTTGTAAAACTGGTATATCCTGTAAGCATCAGCTGGTGTCAGGCAATTGTATGAGAGTCTCACATTTCATTTTGGTTCAAAATAGGGTTTTTTTAATGTTTCAACTTGGAAAATATCAACCCTGCCAGTTAAAAAAAAAAGGCAAATAAAATGGACTGGGCATTTATTATTTATAAAGCCTCTTGACTTCTGACCTTTTGTGAGTCAGCTGGGAACTGTTGGCTAAACAACCCCAGGGCTGTTGTGAGGGGGAAGCTCCGTGAAACAGCAAAGCTGCTTGAAAAGTCAAGAAGCCAGAAACCCCCTGGCAGGCCTGGAGCGCTGGCGCTTTCAAAGAGAAAAGTTTATTGCCCGTGAGCCTGGGCAGAGGCCCAGGGCAGCTGTGAGCAGCCCGGGGGACCCTCCCTGACCTGGGGGTCACCAT